TAGATAGATAGATAGATAGATAGATAGATAGATAGATAGATAGATAGATAGATAGATAGATAGATAGATAGATTTTGAGGAGTTTGGAATCAATAACTTATTATAGAAATGTTATTAGATATATAAAATAACAACCAGAATAAGAATAAGGATTAACAATTTAATTGGAATAGATATGAAAATAAGATCTTATGATAAGATTATTTTGGAACACTGCTATCATGTCACCCTTAGTACTTCTTTCTATTAGACTAGATATACGCAATTCCTGTAACTTCTTCATGTGTTTTAATATCTAGCTCTCTAATTATATATAATCAGCCTTAGAAATGAGGCACACTTCTGCAGATTCCAAAAAATGCTTTCCTTTTTCATGAATATGATTGACTGTCACAATGCTAACCCTGGTGTAAGTGATGAGGAAGAGAGGGAGCTCCAAAAGAAAAGCTGACTACAAATGAAAGATCTCCAAGAGATTTGCACACTTCTATAAATATATAATCCACTCATGTTTGTGATGATGGACAAATCCTACAATCCATCAAATTAATTGTCTTAATAGTTAAATATATGATTAGTTGATTTACAACAGAGGAAATAACAGAAGGAATCATGTATGTTTGTTTTCTAATCTTGAAAAACAAATAGACAATCACCCATCAAAAATGACGTAATGTCTACATTAGAGAAAGAAAGGATGGCTTATTTTTTAATAATGATTAATTTAATAAGGATTTTAATAATAATTAAATGACTTTAAACAGATTTTAAAGTAGGTCTATATGTGAATGCTTTTTATTAAACTATCATCTGGTAATAAAGCCAGTTTTCATGTGCTATAGATTAAGAAATCAAGAATGCTTTACAGAGAGCACAATTGTTGGATGTCCACAGTCAAAATCAAGAAATCACTGCAATGCCCACTATTATCAAAGTGGACAGAGAAAGGCAAATGTGTTACTTTGTATTCACCAAGTTAGAATCAGTGGTGGGATTTAATGTTTTTTACTACTGGTTCTGTAGGCATGGCTTGGTGGGCGTGGCTTTGTGGACAAGGCAGGGGAAGGATACTTGCAAAATCTCCATTCCCTCCCCACTCCTGGGAGAAGGTTACTGCAAAATCCAATTTTCTCCCCACCCCACTAACCTGCTTTCTAGCTCCGTTCTCCTGTGCAGGGCAACAAAAGAAGACCCAACCAATCAGCTGGGACTCGGGAGGCAGAGAATAGATGGGGGCAGAGCCCACCAGAGGTAGTATTTGCCGGTTCTCCAAACTACTCAAAATTTCTGCTACTGGTTCTCCAGAACTGGTCAGAACCTGTTGAATACCACCACTGGTTAGAATGCAACAGAAATACAAGAAGTGAGGAACAATTACTCAATGTCACTTAGTATGGATACAAAAGAATAATTCCTCTTACACACACACACACACACACACAAGATTATGGAAACATCCCTCTAAGTGTGCAGAGAGACATGTTGATTATTAGCATAATGTATTTGATTAAATAAAATTATTGCTTTGCAATGTGGAATATATGGGGCTGATTTTCCTTTCTATAGTCACCAAGCAAAATCTACAAGTCTACAAGATGAGACAATATGATTTATTTCATTCTTTTCCCCCCTATTAATTTCCTTTTAATTTCTAGAAGCTGAGGAAGTTAAGCATATCATGTTAAGAAATGTAAAAACTGAATCCACATTTCTCCCACTGAAGGAAAATAAACAATCTTGTTCAAACTCCTCATTTTATTCCACAGCCATGAACATTCCTTCTTCTCCCTCAGCAACTACAGAGAAGATTCCATGTGGCTTATTTCAAGATTAGCTCAGTGAACGTATTCAAAGAACCGACTTACTGTACTATAATACAGATTTATAAGCTTCTTCTTTGTTCTCATGTGCAAATCCAAACTTCTATGACTGAAACATTTTGGAAAGCAGTTCAGAGATAGAGAAAGTTCTCAATAGGTTTCAGATTCACTTCCTCTCACTGTGTCTCTCTCACACAGTAATAGACAGCTGTGTCCTCTTCTTTCAGACGGTTCATTTGTAGATAAAGCTGCCTCTGGGAATCATCTCTAGAGATGGTGAAGCGTCCCTTGACTTTGTCCGAGTAGCGAGTTGGAGATGAGGATCTACCAATATCTGCAACCCATTCCAGGCCTTTCCCTGGAGTCTGTCTCACCCAGCCCATGTAATAGCTGCTGAAGGTGAATCCAGAGGCTTGGCAGGAGAGACGGAGGGACTCCCCAGGTCTTCTCACATCCCCTCCAGACTCCACCAACTGGACTTGAGACTTGACACCTAAAAAGAAAAGAGTTTCAGTGCCATTTCTTACATACAAGAACAGAAAATGCTACTATAGAGAGGGAAACATTACCTCCAAGGGCTGCTAGTAAACACATAAAGTTTAGCCAGAGAATCATTTCTGTTTCCTCTGATGAAGAGAATTGATAGGAGATGATGTGGGAAAGTGCACAAACTTTGTGTTGGTATGTGTAGCCTGAAAAAGAAAACCAAGTGGCTGCTTTAAAGGGGAATCTGTCTCTCAATTTACATATCTGTTGATATAAAATAGTTCCTCGGTGCAGTCACATTTTCCTTGCACATGGGGGGATTTTGAAATGGCTTCCCAGTCCTTTCAAAAGTAAAGGCAGCCTTTAAATTACAGCAATTAAAAGGACTTGCAAAATGTTCCCACTTCTAAAAAGTGATTCAAGGTAATAGTTGATGATCATGCACTAGAACAGAACAGAACAGAACAGAACAGAATAGAATCGAATACTTTATTGGCCAAGTGTGATTGGACACACAAGGAATATGTCTTGGTGTAAATACACTCAGTATACATAAAAAAAAAAAGATACATTCATCAAGAGTCAAGAATCATAACGTACAACCCTTAATGAGAGTCATAGGGTACAATAAGCAATCAAATCATACTAGGAAACAATCAATATAAATCATAAGGATACAAGCAACAAAGTTACAGTCATACAGTCACAAGTGGGAGGGGATGGGTGATAAGGAGTGATGAGAAGATTAACAGTAATAGTAATGCAGACTTTGTAATAGTTGAACAGTGTTGAGGGAATTATTTGTTTAGAAGAGTGATGGCTTTCGGGGAAAAAAACTGTTCTTGTGTCTAGTTGTTCTAAAGAGACATCTTAGACATAGAACATGAGATGAGCAGAGTACCTGAGTTCAAGAAAGACTTTGTAACTTTATTTTCCTTTTCATTTGCCCTTTTCAAGAAACCGTAAGGAATTGAATTTTCTTTTTGCTATTTTTGCAGGTCATTTTTGTCAATTGTATTTTGCCCAGCATTGATTTACCAAGATGAGCAGCCATACAAACAGAAATAATAACTGTGATTGTAATGCTAATATCAAGACTAATTAAGAATGCCACCAAATATACTCTCTGTTGCCTCCTCCACCCTGGCATCAGTGTGAGATTAGTGCCCGCTGGAACACAAGATGACTAAGGGAGTTATGTGCCCCATTCTAAGAAGGTTTCAAAAAGGAATTAGCAGAGCTGCTTTGTCAAATAGGCATTTTTTGTCTTGTTTCCTCTCACTATGAATGTCTCTTACACAGTAATAGACAGCTGTGTCCTGTAGTTTGAAGCTGCTCATTTGCAGATACAGCTGCCTTTGGGTATTGTCCCTGGAGACGGCGAAGCGTCCTTTCACTTTGTCTGAGTAGAACTTTCTACTGGCATCACTGTAGATGTGAGCAACATATTCTAGTCCTTTCCCTGGAGCCTGTCTCACCCATGTCATGTGGTGGCTTCTGAAGGAGAATCCAGATGCTTGACAGGAAAGATGGAGGGACTCTCCAGGCCTTCTCATATCCCCTCCGGACTCCACCAACTGGATCTGAGATTGGACACCTAAAATGAAAGGAATTTGAGTGAACTCTTTGTATACAAGAATTAAAATGGAAAGAAATTTGATCGGGAAGAAACAATGACCTTTTAGGAATGCTAGTAAGGATAACAAGTTGAGCCACAGGATCATTTTTTTTTTGTTCCCTGTAAAGTTGGGAGGATGGCAAAAGATTTTGGGAAGTGCACAAACTGTGTTGGTGGGTGTAGCCTGAAAAGAGAAACCAACTGCCTCTTTTAAAGGGGAAATTGTGCTTTGATTTACATATTACTAGGTATAAAAAAAGTATCCTCATTGTGTATTGCACAGTCTAGGAAAGCCAAACTATTTTCCTTAGCATCTGACAAAGAAAAACTACAACCTACATCTTGGTAAGATAGAAAAATGTGGAATAGACAACATCACCATCTAATAGATTTGTAGCTTGCTGACAAACCATACTCAATGTCTAATCCTTAATAGTATTTCATTCATGTGGAGAGAAGTAAGCAGTGGGGTACCACAAGGCTTGATCTTAGGCCCGGTACTCTTCAATATCTTCATAAATGACTTTAGATGATGGAATAGAGAGGTAACTCATCAAATTTGCAAATGACACTAAACTGGCAGGAATTGCCAACACCCCAGAAGAGAAACTCAGGATCCAAAAAGATCTTTCCAAACTTGAACAATGGGCCCTATCCAACAAAATGAATGTTAATGTAGAGAAAAGCAAAATTTGACATTTAGGCAGGAAAAACCAAAGGTATAAGTACAGATTAGGCAAAACCTGGCTCAAAACCAATAACTGCAAGAGGGATCTTGGAGTCCTAGTGGATTATCATTTGAATATGAGCCAGCAGTGTGCAGCAACAGCCTAAAAAGCTAATACAAATCTCTCAGAGGAGGTCCACCTCTAATATACGCTACATAAACATGACAAAATAAATACATAATTATGCATATACCCACATATGTTATATGACACAGAGAAACCACACAGTCTAGTTCGGACGCATACATGTACATGGCAAAAGAACCAAATCTTACAAGTTTACCAAACATGGATTCCTTGTTCCAAGATTACAAGGAAACAAAGGGAACAAAGTTGTTACAGAATCTGGTAGTCCTGCTAGAAATACTTCAAAGATCCCTTCCAGAGGGGAGCAACAGAAACAGACCATGAAGGGGTGTGTGTGGGGTCTCTAAAAACATTTTGAGCTCTAAGCACATAGCACTTATAAGCAGCATCCTGAATGACAGGAAGTACGCTTCCTATTGAGTTTGGCTAGCCTAAATAAAATAAGAATTAGGGGTGACAGGATAGCAGTATTCCAATATTTGAGGGTCTGCCACAAAAAAGAGGGGGGTCAAATTATTCTCCAAACATCAGAGGGCAGGATAAGAAACAATGGATGGCAACTAATCAAAGAGCAAAGCAACCTGGAATTAATTTTTTATTTTTATTTTATTTATTTATTTATTTATTTTTTATTTATTTGATTTGCCAATTGTTTACAAGATAATAAGTATAAGTGTATACATAGTTGTGAATACATGAAATGGGTACATATAAGAAAAATAAAAGAAGAATAAGAGAAACAATAGGACAGGGACGGTAGGCACGTTGGTGCGCTTATGCACGCCCCCTACAGACCTCTTAGGAAAGGGGTGAGGTCAATAGTAGACAGTCTAAGGTTAAAGTTTTTGGGGTTTGGGGAAGAAACTACAGAGTCGGGTAGAGTATTCCAGACATTGACCACTCTATTGCTGAAGTCATATTTCCTGCAATCAAGTTTGGTGCGGTTAACATTGAGTTTGTATCTATTGTGTGCTCTTGTGTTGTTATGGTTGAAGCTGAAGTATTCATTGACAGGTAGGACATTGCAATGTATGATTTTATATACCATGCTTAAATCAGACCGAAGACGGCGTAATTCAAGGTTTTCCAGTTCTAGAATTTCAAGTCTGGTGGCATAAGGTATTCTACAACGAGTAGAGGAGTGGAGAACTCTTCTTGTGAAATATTTCTGGACTTTCTCAATTGTGCTAATATCAGATACGTAATGTGGGTTCCAGACTGATGAACTGTATTCGAGTATTGGTCTAGCAAATGTTTTGTATGCTCTGGTTAGTAGTGTGATATTACCAGAGAAAAAGCTACGTAGGATTAGGTTAACAACTCTTAATGCCTTTTTGGCTATGTAGTTGCAGTGGGCTCTAGCACTTAGATCATTAGAGGTGAGTATTCCAAGGTCCTTTACAGAGCTTGGGTCATCAACAAGATCTTGACTATTCAGCTTGTATTTTATTTTCTGATTTTTTTTTTGCCAATATGTAAGACAGAGCATTTATTTGTTGAGATTTGAAGTTGCCATTTGTTTGACCATTCTGATACATAGTCAAGATCTTTTTGTAGGGTAGCAGTATTGTCTGTGGTATTGAACAGCTTTACATCATCAGCGAAAAGAACGCAATTGCTCTTAATATGATCACAGAGGTCATTTATGTAGAGTATGAAGAGAGTTGGTCCTAGAACACTGCCTTGGGGGACACCACTATTGACAGGTACAGAATTTGATAGGAATGCTTCTATCCAGTTATTCAGTTGTCCAGAGATACCATAGGATTTTATTTTTAGGAGTAGTTTGTCGTGTACCACTGAATCAAAGGCTTTACAGAAGTCTATGTAGATTGCGTCTATTGCTTTGCCCTGGTCGAGTTGTGTCGTCCATATGTTTTTGCAGTGTAAGAGTTGCAGATTACAGGATAGTTTTTTTCTGAAATCAAATTGTTTATTGGAGAGTAGGTTGTTTGTCTCTAAGTGGAGGATAATGGATTGGTTAATAATTGATTCCATGACTTTACAGGTGACGCAGCATAAGGAGATAGGTCTGTAATTTTCAACTAGGCTTGGGTCTCCCTTTTTGAAGATGGGGATGACTGTGGCTTGTGACCATAGGTTAGGCAAGGAGCTGGTCCTGAAAGATTTTTCAAAGATTATGCTTAGAGGTTTGGCTATGGCAGTGGATAGCTTTCTTAAGAAGTAGGCACATATTCCATCCGGTCCAATAGATAGAGATGGTTTTAGGTTGCGTAGTGCTTTTTCAACATTGTCTTCTGTGAAATCGATATGTATTAGATCATTGTTGTTATCTGTGGTACGGCTAGGAAATACTGGGCATGATCCATTGCTGTTTACAAATACTGAGCCGAAGAATGTGTTAAAGAGGTTGGCTTTAATGGTGTCGTCGTTGCAGTCTTTACCATCAGGTCCTATCAAGGGTGGGATGGACCTTGAGTCTTTTAGTTTGTTGTTTACAAAATTGTAAAAAGCACGGGAGGAATTGGTGCTTAGAAGGTTTTCCTCTTGTTTAATGTGATAATTGGTGCATTCGGTCTTTATCTGGTGGCATAAATTTTTGTATCGGCTTTTGAAATTGGCAACGTGACCAGATTTGTTTTTCCGCCAGAGTGATCTCTTTTTGGATTGAAGTTTCCTTATTGTTATGGGTAATCTGCTTTTTTGTTTTGTTTTGGGAGTTGTTGTTGGTACATATAGTTTGATGACTCTTTTGACTTCAAGTAAAAATATGTTGTAATGGTCTTCAACAG